GGGATGAAATAAGTTTTTAAACATTCACTGAGGAGGGAAGATCAGTAAATCTGGGATTGTTATCATCTCTATCTGATAGGATGTTTGATGGATAGACAGAATGTATTTGAATGAGCAGTTTATTGAGGGATCAAACCCACAACTGGTTGATGCAATGCAAACATGCTACCCACTGTTCTACACCCATTTCAGAGTGTATGTTATTGTAACAATATGTCACCATGAAACTGTTACATTTGCTATACTTAGCTTGGATATTTATAGCTGAGATTAATAGGAGTTGTAAAAAAAATATCAGATTTTACTATAAAAGACATCATGGCAGCCAGGTTCTTATATACGGTACTACTACCCCAGGTACATGTTATGCTTTTGTCCCTCCATCAAACTCACTGTAAAATACTTTATTTCAATTGGAATTTATTCTCGCTAAAAGGGTGATTCAGTGAAAATAAAATCCAGCAAATAAATCAGTGAAAATAAACTCCATACAAAACAGCTCAAAAAGTCTTTTCACTGAAAATGAAATAAATTATTTTACAGTGACTTGCAAGTGAAAACAAGACACTGCAGCAACATACATCTCAATATTCCTACAAACATTGCAATTAATGAAAGTTATATAAATAAGTACTAACAAAATGTCAATGAATTGTGTTGTTTTCTATTTATATTTTTCCAGATTTTAAAGATGAAATAATAAGTTTTTCTGGTAATCTGGTGAACCTGCGGAACATTTTGTGTCTTTAGTTGTAGGTAGTAAAACCCTGCTTATTGGTGCCACTAAGAAAAGTACTGGAAAAGGTGTTGTATATAAAGGAAATCTGACTGATGACATAACATCGGTAATACAAACATTTAGTATATACCCAAACGATATTTTAACTTTGGTTTTCAACCTAGATATTCTACATATATGTGGAAGAGTTTCATTTAAGTCATTTCTATGCTAATGGGAATTTTATAGGGATATTTATTGGTAAATATTGTGGGCATAATGTGTTTTTTAGCTATCGAGTGTTTAGCTCTCTATGTTTTTGTATGTAAATACTGATAGATAAAATGTTTTTGCTAGATTGCTATGTTCTAAGAGATGAACAGTGATGTTCGGCAAGTTGCCATAAACTGATGTTATTTGTTTATAACCAGTATAAAAGTGTCTGATAACAAATGTTGCTTACTGTTCAGCACAAGCATGCAATGATTTGTTGTGACAATATTTACATCTATATTTAACACCAATCACAGAGAACAATGTCGTTATTTCCTGTTTGCATGTGAACAATCGGTTATTTCCAATAAGCTACTGTGTATGTGAGCACATGCCAAATGTAAATACATGCGGTGGCCTATAGACAGTCATTAATTTGAATGACAATGCCTTCACTCATCTATGTCTGTAGAGGGCGCTACTCATAGAAAGGGTAACAGTATCACGTCTTGAAAGATGGCTACCGGTACTACATTTGTATATAATAATGCTCTCCCCAGCATCAATCCATTTGCATAACAATATAATTCATTGTTATGCTAAATTAGTTCTATTGTTTATCCAAAATTTAAAAGTTGAGAACCCTGATTATGACATGTATTTCTTGTTCAACATTTACACACATTTAACTATTTTTACTGATCAATGAAATCTGCTAAATTAAATCTGTGTGAACGTGTAAAATTACAATAGAACTCATTGTTTTACTGTCAAATTGATTCATTTAATATGAATATGACTAAATATTATTAAACTTTATAGATACATAGCTAAACAAACAAACTACTGTACAATTAATTCTCGCTGAAGGAGTGATTCAGTGAAAATAAAATCAAGCATATATACCTGTTTTCCTATATTTTGAATTCAACTTGTCAAAAGTCAGTGAAAATAAATTCCTATACAAAACACCCAAAAAGTCTTTTCAGCGAAAATTAATTCCAGCTAAAATAAAGTATTTTACAGTAATTGAATTTCACACTGTTTTATATAATAATAATAATAATGTGTTATTTGCTTTAGGTCGCAGAGTATGTGGTAGTAGATCCTTGTGATGGTGATGTAAGTATAATAATTTGTTACTTCTTTATAAAATGTTTATCTCTGTCTGAGAATTAATGAAAATTAATATCCACAATTAGTGGTCATTCCAGAAAATGCCTGCAACAATTCTCAAATAAAATTATTGGGTATAGTATGTACCTAATTACCTGTGCCATGGCGGAGATTATGTTTTTTCTGGCATTGGTTTGTAATTTGTTTGTCTCAAAAAGTTGTTCATGAATTTTCATGAAATTATTGGGAGAGGTTTTCTCTAATATACAAGAACCACACAATTAGAATTTTGGATAGATATGGCTTTCGATGCTATGGAAACAACAATTTTGGGATTGCTATTATGAACAAATCTTTATGAAATTTTCAGGTAAGGTGTAAATGTGAATCTTGTTGCTATTCATTTCAAGATACATGTAGCTTAACGAATTTATAGATAAATTTATGTGGGAGAGTTTGTCCTTCAGACAAAGAAAAATTGACCATTTCCAAGTTCCCTGTAGCATTTCAATCTGTCATGTGAGGGGCACTGCAAACTGTTAACATTTTCATACAGCCCCACTGTACCTGTACCACTGTAAAAAATCAATATAGTGTGGCTACATTGACATATGCCAGATAACTGAATTTTGTGAAAAACTAAACATATCGCAAAATAAATTTTCCTAAATGACATGACTTGTCATTATTTCTCATCTACAGAAGCAGTGTAGTGTTAAAAAGCATTGATATTCCAGTGAGAGTTAAAATGACATATTTTGCTCCTCTTAAATATTTGATTTTATGAAGACGATAGGGTCACAATGCTTGATTATTTGATTCATACATTAAAAAAAATTGACTATATTTTGTTCACTGAATATGTACAGTAATATATCTGAAAAGGCTAGTAAACAGTTGTGCCACTATAAAACATGATGCTTTTTTTGAGAGAAATAAGAAAACAAAAATTTACAAGCACTGTTACGTGGGAATGCGTTGATAAGACATACTTTTTAATAACTTGATTTAACATGTAAAACAGGTAAAACATGTATGATACAACAATAACCAAATAAATTCTAAATAAAAATATAATTTTGTTGTGAATTACTGCTCGACTACATATTTTGGTATGACCATTTAGTGTGGAATAATACAGGTCTGTCGTGTTAAGTATGTTTCTTCATTCCTGTCCTGTGCATACTAATAAACTGGATATTCAGTGACCCCATCGTGTGAAAATGGAATAAACTTGCTTCTCTACAAAAAACTCAGAAATTGTCAATTGATAATACTTTATGAAAGATCTGTATCTGATTTCTATAATTGAAGCAGCAAGGATTCTTAATTTTTAAATTGAGCTACTGTCCGATTTGTGAATAAACTATTCAAGACTCAATTCAGTATTTCTGTCCAAAAAAAAACCTGTAAGCTTATGCACGGTTACTAAAAAGTAACCGTGGCTTATGTCAATATGATAAAGGTGTTTACTCTTCTATAAGAAGACATATAGGTTAAAAAAAATTGGATATAAGCATGTTAATGGCGTGATTGTGTGGTTTGTGCTCTCAGAGTGCTTTCTAGTTTGTTTTGTTATCTCAGGCTCTCAACAAATGTAAATGTTTATTTATTATAAAGTCAGTATTTATCAGATTGATTGAGGAGTAATTTTCCCCCATACTATCATTTTTGTTACACTTTACAAAGAGAACTGGATCTTATAAGTACACTGACAATAGGAAAAGTACATGGGGCCGATAGCTTTACATACATCCTCTCTGAGAGGACACCATTCTCTCAATTATGAATGCAGTGAGCCTGGCAAGTGGACAGAATGTACTGTTTTGCCTCATGTTGTGTGAACATGCTAACTATTATCCCACACATCAATTGTCTAGGAATCGTGTGAGTTAGTGAAGAGTGTATTCACAATAGCTGAATTTTAGAGAAAAAAAATTTTTTTTCCTGAAAATACAAAATTTATGATGTACCAGCAATATTTTTATTTTTTTTCATTATTCTAATTTGGTCAATCGGTGACCATATTGGTCATTAAATTTATTTGTTATATCTCCGAACATCTGGGTATCATACAATAAAGACTAAACATGAGAGTGGTTTTGTGACATTTCTAAGCAACATAAGCAAATGTTTTTACTTGTTTACTAGTATGATATAAATTTGTTTTTGCATTATATTGTTAATTAAAATTGATGTTGCCTGTGGTATCATTAAATACTTACAGTGAATAAATTCAAATTCTAAAATAATTAAAATGTACAAAATTATCACAGTATAAAAGCAAAATAGCCACTTGTGTTTCATGTATCATGTTTTCTGTCAGTCTGGAGTCGGGAATTGTATTATTGAATCCAAGGATAAGGATTTTAAGGATTTTGATTGTAGTTGGTAGTATTCTGCACAAATTTATCTCAGTGACTTTGTAGTTTATAATTTCAAATGTCAAAGACACTGAATTATCGACTGTAAACAAGAAAATTCTTATAACATGTTTTTGATTTTGTTTGTATTCATTTTCAGACTTCTTGTCAGAGTTACATCAAAGTTCTTTTGGAGATTCCTCCAAGCAATGATGATCTACTTGTGTGTGGTTCTACTACTGTCATATCTAAGTATGATTGTTATAATGTGTCCTCTTCAAATTCTGTAAGTTTTTACAAAATGTTTTCAGTAAATACTAGTAATTTTGTTACTGTTAAAAATTTCATAGAGATTGATTATTTTGTATTACGTTATTCTAAGCTTATGTTCAGTGACAGGATTATATTTGCAACACATGCTATATGATGCTTCTACACCCATTGTAAACAAGGGATAGTGTTTTAATGTGATGTAAATAATCTGGATCGCATTGGAATTAGTGGAAATATTTTTTGAATTAATACAGATACAGATTTGTACAGATAAATTCTATTGATTGACTATTATGATGATTATTCTCGGAATTGTTGTATTTCAGTTGACAACCTCAATAGACCCAGAATATATATGTTCTGTTCACTATCTGGAAAACACTACAGCTGTAATTGATACTGATGATGGAAAACTTTATACAGCACTTGTTTATAATGGAGTCAGAGATAGAACAATTGGTCGGGCTCCTTCGTACATTGAGCCTGTAGATATATTTTCAGTTGCTGCAGATGAATGGATTGGAGAAGGTAACTTATTTCTTTTTTTTTGTATTTATTTTATTGGAGTCATTGGGTGAGGTTACAGTATTTTGAACAATTCTGGAAAAAAACACAAAATTGTTTATATTTCTCTACATCTGTTACAAATAACATAACTGGGCCAAGCATTTGTAGGTATTTCCATTAGTGGCAAGGAACAATTCAATATGTTGTATGTGTTTTGCGGCCAAAAGCAAAAAATTCACTAGATCAGACTAAACAAAATTATTACTGTAGGTAAAGTATAATACATTTTTCAGTCTGCCAAAATTACTTCACTATTTCATAGTCATAAAACAAGTGCAGCAAAGTTTTATCTTCATTTTTTACTCCTTTGTGCAATGATGATTGAGATAATAACAATTGTAATTGTCATATCAAAAACCATATCAACTACCACATCAATGGTTTTGATATTGCAAGAGCATTGTGGGAACAATAGTCATGGCAAAAAGATGATTTCACTGGACATCTCACTTGTCAACTTTGTTTTCAGGAAGACACTTTACAAATATATTAGTGCTATTTGGACGGGCAACAAATATAACTGTCCGACTAGTGTGGGATAGTGGATACATATGACTGCCGACATCACCTCTCCCCTCAAATACTCCCTGACCCAGCTCAATTGTATCTAAAACCAAAAGAATAGGTTTAGAAATGGAAATGGTTTCAGTTCAACTCTCACCATTTTTACCTTGCCCGTACCATCAAAAATGGAAGGGAAAGGTATATTAAAGGAAAAATGTATGTCTCTAGTTATCGTCGTCGTTAATGATTGTTATTGTGTGGATAATAACTTTACTAATTCTATTCCAAACTTTATCAAACTTGGTCACCTTATTCATCAGTATAAAGTCTTCCCTGAGTTTGAACAACAGATGTCCTGTATGAAAATATCATGCAAAAATTGAGAAAATCTGATAAAATATTTTGACTGTTTCTACTTGACTGATCACTGATGATATACATTCAAAGGTCACTGAACTCAGTGGAAATATGCATTGTTGTATGTGTTGAAGCAAATCATATATCTTGTAATAATATAGTTGGTTATGTTTCTCCCAAATCCCATGGGAATACTAGACTGGGTTTCAAAACCAACTCATGGAGAGAGTTGTTTTAACCCCAAAACTTGTCTATTCAAAATTCATTATGACAATGCATATTCCTATTGAAACAAACAGGCCGGCATACAGGATTGGATTTTAAAGACAGAGTCTGCAATATGTGCGACAATGACCATGTTGAAGATGAACAACATTTTGTCACAAATTGTCCTCATTACAATGAAATAAGATTAAAACTTTACATTGTAGCTAATAAACGTATACCAAATTTTGACAAATTTAGTAATGAAAATAAATTCATATCATTACTAAGTGACGAGAAAATGTCTATTCCTTTAGCGCAATATTTAAAAAACTGTTTTAATACAAGACAGCAGCACCTACATAAACTAAGCCAGTAATACATTCCTTGTATTCAAATTATTATCTTTTTTTTTTTTTTATGCCTTTTTGTTCCCTTACTTTTTATGTGGTTATTTTTCTTTTACTAATATCTGATTTGTAACCCTTTTCATCCCCTCCGGGGGATGTTGTGTGTTAATAAATAAATAGAAATAAATAGAAATAAATAGAGATAAAGGGAATAATATTATATAACAAAGGGCAAGGTCACCAGAGTTCAATTATGTTTTAGGTGTCTTATGCTAGACAAATCACCCAACCTAAAAGCTATACTGATACAACAACAGCTTATTTCTTTTCTTGATAATAGAGCCAAGTTTTATATCATCATACACCGAAACTGTGCTTGAAGACTGGGTGTTGTTTTTCTTTCGTGAGGTTGCTTTAGAGAGCGAAACCCGTGATATTTATTCAAGAATGGCAAAAGTTTGTAAGGTTGGTGAGCATTAATAATTCTTTTCTTTCTATTCATATTGGAAAAAAGAATTTCATGCATCTATATCTCCGACATAACTGGACCAATAATGTTCCCTGAGCATGCTCGCAAGAGAAGAGGGAGGAGGGGGGATCTTTTGACTCTGTGTTATTTTTTTATGCATAGTCAACAGATAACATCCTTATTCTACAACTTTGCTGATGTTGGTAACTTTTTGAATATATGATAAAGAGATCATTCGTGAATAATATCAGAGATAGCATGTGGTATTGCTCAGAGTAATATTAATATTAGTTCTCTCAGTACACACCTCAAAATATATCACCATTGCTTCCCGCAGTACCACATGTTGTCTTGTCTCTGTATATAACCTCTAATTGTGCACATACAGATATTTTCGTCAAACTTCACTGAAAAACATTTTTTTCTATATCTTAGAAATTTTTGTAAATTTTCAAAGGTAGTGTGGATGCCTACAAAACATGTACAGAATCAGCATGCTCTGAACCAAACTGAAGCTGACTGAAAGTGAATCAATATACCGGTACCCCTCCCTCCCTCTTTCCCTCACATGCATGTTTGCCAAACAACCAGAGAACCCTGGAACTCGTCTATTAAATTCAGACTATCAGAAAGTGACTGTGAAAATATAGGCTACCTGGGGGGGGGGGGGGGGTTATATAAAAGCAGTTCTCCCTATTTCGACCATCAAGTAACCTTTGTCATTTAAAGGATATGCACTACCAGTATCTCAAATATAATATAATCACAGGTAGACAGTTTATATACATTGTTCTATCTGTCTTTGTTATAAATTCATCAACATCAATTTGTTTATGTTTGCAGGATGATAATGGTGGTAACTCAAATGTATTGACCAACAATTGGGCAACTTATCAGAAAGCTCGTCTTCAGTGTGAAAATAAGTATTATTACAATGTTTTATGTAAGTATCACTGTGTTATCTATACTTAAAGGACGGTGTTCGAATTTCATGTAAAGAAACAATGTATTTCTACATGTTGTATATGTATATGAGTCCCATATTGATTAGGACACAGCGTGACGACCACCACCCTTTAAGAACAATTATCAGTTGTTTTGGGGATAAAACATCAAAGTTATGAAACACTCCAGTATTATTTAGATAAATGTAGGTATACAAGCATAAAATGGTAATTTGTTACTGTATCTGCTTCAGTTTGTATTGTATTGTATCCAAGTTGTTCTGCATTTATACTTATATTTTACGACATGTTTGAAAATTGTGAAAACCCATATCACCATTCATCACATACTAGTACTGTAGAAGTGTTATTAATGTACGCAATGCCTGAACATTGTTCTGAGCTTCCAGGGTTATATATACGTTTTGATAACTACTGATTGAGATAACAATGGTTCATTTTGGCAAGCTCACATGTATAGCATGTATTTGCACTGACAACACTCCACTGTTTTACTCTGTTGTACAGTAAAAATAAGTATCTGAAAAAATATTACTTATTCACACTTGCAGTATTTATATTATAAAACAATGTTTGGGCAGTTTTGTTTTCATACCGTTGCTGATGCTTGCCATTTGTTGTTAAGCATGATAGTACAGTACCTCTGCCTATTTGCCAGAAGATATGTAAGATGCATATTTGATCATATTTTTAAAATGACATTAATTATTTGTTTACTTACAGTGGATACAGCTTTATCTGCTGATGGTCAAACTATTTATGCTGCTTTCATTGCCAATGAGTAAGTTGTTTTTTATGCTATAGTATCGGTATAACTAGTCATATAAGGATTTTTATATTGTTAATTTCTCTATAGTTTGAATTCTCTTCAATCATGGGATTATCTATTATTTTGTTGTTTCCCTCGTGCTGCTTTGATCATAACATCAGCCTGCATACAATGGTGTTGAGTAGTAGCAAAGCTAATATTATAGAAGTTAGTCAAAAGACTATTTCCAGTGCCTGCATTATCAAGATTTTTCCTTATCTAAAGTATATACATGTACATGTATCACAGAATAGTCATTTGATAGCAATAATAGTGAGTTTTAAATGGTAAGTCACAATTGCAGAGTTACTGCCGACTCAAGCCAGTTGTTGACATTCCCTTTAAAGTGCCTGTGAAATGGCTGCTATTTTCTCGTTTAAAATCATTCATTGATACATCAAAATATTATTAATTTTTATGTTTCTAAGCATAAAATATTTGTTAAAGTCAAAAAATGTGTTTCAAACTCAGTCTACGGCAACTTTATTTTTGTGTATTTTAAAACGAGGCTCTTCATTAGCTTCTCATTTGCATACAGAAATACCCCTTGTGACATAAAAAAGGGGAACTTGCTGGGCAGCTTACATTGCCGATATGTGTATACAAGGCACATTTCATGTACAGTTTTCTCATCTTTGACTAAATTGCCACTTTAATATGTACTTGTTGGTCAAGGAAGAATGGCCCATAATGAACACATAATATCAAGTTTGTCGCATAGGGTTAAGTTAGATAAGTTAGAAATGTGTTTTTTCTGGCGTAGCTGGTCACCGTGATCATAACCTCTACCGACGCACATTTGTACACTATCGCTTGATCCCAGCACTGGACAACATTTGAGTTGGTTGAAAAGGAATTGGACAGGACTGCACAATTACTTATATAAGTCATATATTATTATACAAACTACAAAGTCAGTTCTGAGCAAACATAATTTTTAGATTACCTACTACTACTTACTACTAATGAATTTACTTAAAGCATTTCGCAGCTTAGGAACTGTTGATGTTACCAGTATGACATGAAATAGTATTTTGTCAAATGTTTCCGATCATTCTAAACATTATTTCCCCCAAGACCCTTTATTATTATTTTTTTCTTTCAGAAATGGTGTCCCACAACCTGCTGTTTGTTCATACGATTTTACTCAGGCAGTGCCTGTATTTGAGAATCAACCCAGTATGACATGAAATAGTATTTTGTCAAATGTTTCCGATCATTCTAAACATTATTTCTCCCAAGACCCTTTATTATTATTTTTTTCTTTCAGAAATGGTGTCCCACGACCTGCTGTTTGTTCATACGATCTTACTCAGGCAGTGCCTGTATTTGAGAATCAACCCAGTATGACATGAAATAGTATTTTGTCAAATGTTTCCGATCATTCTAAACATTATTTCTCCCAAGACCCTTTATTATTATTTTTTTCTTTCAGAAATGGTGTCCCACGACCTGCTGTTTGTTCATACGATCTTACTCAGGCAGTGCCTGTATTTGAGAATCAACCCAGTATGACATGAAATAGTATTTTGTCAAATGTTTCCGATCATTCTAAACATTATTTCCCCCAAGACCCTTTATTATTATTTTTTTCTTTCAGAAATGGTGTCCCACGACCTGCTGTTTGTTCATACGATCTTACTCAGGCAGTGCCTGTATTTGAGAATCAACAGTATTATTCCCAAGACACTAATACTGATCAGTGGGAAAAAGTTGTGACTAGTCATGACCCATATCCTGGCGAGGTAATTTGTTTATTAGTCCCTGTTTGGAAACAGGGATTTATGGTTTAGTCTCTGTGTGTCTGTACATCCTGTATCTCAAACACCTCTGGACCAATCCTTTTTAAATTTTACACATAGCTAGTACCTTATCTCATTCATATACACTTTCATCAATTTCATCATCCAATCTAAGATGGCCAACTGCCCACCATCTAAAAATGCACTAGACTTTTCCCTGACATACTTTGCATTGATTTGTTTTAAACTTGGTATGAAGGCTATACATATGTTACATTTGTAGGTATCTAATGTATGTTCTGTTTTGTTTTGTTTTCATTTTGATTTATATCTCAAGTAATTTTTTTGACCAATTTGGTTTAAACTTGGTACAATGACAGGTCATAATAGTTGACATAAGCATATCTAGTTGTTTAAACCTGATTGCTTTTTACTGAATGGCTGAATTTAAAATGACAAAAAATCTCAACGAATGTCCTTCCACAATGTATACACTATATAAAATGCATTAATTATTCACTGGGTTTAAAATTCGTTTATTTCGCTGATAAGTAAAATATGCTAAATTAAATCAACATGAACATTTAAAAATAACAATAAATCTATTGTTTCCATGACAAATTCCTGAAATTAAAACAGTGTCAGTGAAAATAAAAGGTTTTACAGTAAATGACTTCTACTTGAAAACTGCAAGCCAGATTGCTTTGATATTTGGTATTGTAGCTA